CCAACCTGCCCACCCCAAGGGATGTTCTAAACAAGCGACCATCCAGCCCGAGGACCTTAATCATGGTGGGTTTTGGTCTTCACACTTGCCCACCCGCGAGGAATGTTCTAAACATGAGGCCACGCAGCCCGAGGGCGTGAGTAATCACCAACCTGCCCACCCCAAGGGATGTTCTAAACAAGTGACCTCCAAGCTAGACCACATCATATTCCTCTTGTCATCCAACCATACCAATATTCCAAGCATAAGAAAATGTGCAATACAACAAGTGATATGAAAGGATAACTGAATTTCATTAACTTTCTTAAGCAAATTCTGCAAATTACAACTTTGTTCGCACTTCCCGGATTTCTTTGCAAAAAGTGAAGAAAAAAAAATCTACACGTAATATTTTTTCAGATTAGCTATGTTCCATGACCTGGCAAGCGATCGGCCTTCTGCATCCTTTAGCGAGTACGCTCCTCCTGCGTGCACTCGCTCGACCAAGTATGGTCCCTCCCAGTTCGGGTATAGTTTTCCCACATGCTTGAGCACGTCGACACGTTTCTAAACCAGGTCGCCTACTTGGAGTCTGCGAATTTTCACCTTTTTGTCATGAGCGGCTCGCATCCTTTGCTTGTATGCCTCCACCCTGATTGCTGCTCTTCCACGCAGCTCCTTAATAGTATCCAAGGCCGCCATCATTAGATCCTCGTTCTGCTCAGTATTGTATGTGCTCGACCTCTAGGATGATAGTTCGACCTCGACCGGCAGCAAGTCCTCCACTCCATAAGCTAAACTGAAGGGAGTTTCTCCTGTTGTCGATCTCGGGGTTGTGCAATACGCCCAAAGTACTATGCTCAACTCATCGACCCATGCCCCCGAGGCTTTTTCCAGCTTTGTTTTCAGCCAATTCAGTATAATTCGGTTGGTTACTTTGACCTGGCCATTGGCTTGCGGATGAGCAACAGAAGCAAAGTGTTGCTCGATTTTTATTTCTTCACACCACGCTCGAATCCGCTTGCCATTGAACTAAGTGCCATTGTCGAAAATCAACACTTTGGGCACGCCAAACCTGCAGCAAATGTTGTTGTATAGAAATTTAATTACTTTCTCCTCCGTGATCTTCGCCAAGGGCTCGGCCTCCACCCACTTTGTGAAATAATCCACCGCTACTATCAAGAACTTCCTCTGCCCTGTCCCCTGAGGCATCGGCCCCACTAGGTCGATACCCCACTGGGCGAATGGTATAGGGGCACTCATTGTTGTCATTGCTTCTGCCGGTTGATGAATAAGGGGGCCATACTTTTGGCATTGTAAGCATTTCTTCATCATCACCTTCGCATCCTCCCTCATCGTCGGCCAGAAATATCCTGCCCTCAAAATCTTTGCGACCAAGGCCCCTGACTTACTATGGTCACTGCAGCATCCTTCGTGCATTTCTCTCAGCACATATCGACCTTCCTCCTTAGTAACACAAAGCAAATGCGGTCCCACATACGACCGTTTGTAAATAATGCCTCCGTGCTAAAAAAATCTCCTCACCACCTTTATCATTCCCACTTTCAGCTCCTCTAAGATCGGGGCCCTCCAATCCTCCACTTCCTCGATCTCCGCCACTTCCACTTCAACCACACTCTTTTCGAGATGCAATAGAGTGACACTTCTGCTCTTACAATCCACCAAGCTTTGAGCAATTTTCGATAACAGGTGTGCCCAACCATTTTCTCCTCGGGGAATTTGTATTAGCTCGAATGAGTCAAACTCTTCTTTCAACTTCTTCATCTCATCTACATACTTCTGCATCCGGTCCTCCTTAACTTCAAACCCCTCCTGAAACTGCCCGACCACCAGTTGAGAATTAGAATGCACTTGTACTTTTCGGGCTCCTCCCGCTTTGGCTACACTCAAGCCTTTGATCACTGCCTCATATTCGGCCTAGTTGTTGGATATCTTGAACCCTACTTTAGCCGCAAATTCCAAGTAATCGCCCTTAGGAAAGACAAGGACAATTCCCAGTCCTGCCCCACTTCGTGCCACAGATCCGTCCACAAACAACTACCATATTCCTCCTGACTCCTCCTCAACTTTCGTGCCTTCCTGGATAAAATCGGCCAACACATGCGCTTTTATGGCCCTCCTTGGCTCATACAACAGAGAATATTCACTCAACTCGACCGCCCATTTCACCAATCGACCAGAGACCGACGGTCGGCTAAGTGTTTCTCCCAGCGGCATGTTTGTTCGCACCTTCACCTTATGGTTCAAGAAATAAGGTCTCAACTTTCGAGCAGTTACGACCACAGCCAAAGCACTCTTCTCGATCTCCGAATACCTCATCTCTGCCCCCTGCATCACCCTACTCACGTAATAGATAGAAAATTGCGCTACCCCTTCCTCCCGCAATAACACCGAACTTATAGCCCTTTCTCTAATATAAATCTACAGCACCAACTCCTCGCCCTGTATGGGTTTAGCCAACAAGGGAAGGTTGGCTAACACCCTTCGCAACTCCTCAAATGCCCTATGTGCCTCCTCCGTCCAGTGAAATTTCGCACTCTTCTTCAACGTTCTAAACAACAGGCCACTTTTTTCTGCCACCTTCGATATAAAACGACTTAGCCCTGCGATTCGACCAGCCAATATTTGTACCTCTTTAACATTTGCCAGTGACTGCATCTCCATCACCGCCTGCACTTTCTCCGGGTTTACCTCGATACCTCTCTTGGTCACCATGTAACCCAAGAATTTCCCCAACTTTACTCCGAACGAACATTTGGCTGGATTCAACTTCATCCCGTACCTCCTCAAAGTCATGAACGTTTCCTTCAAGTCTCGCACATGATCCATCTCTTCCTTGCTTTTTACCAACATATCGTCTACATATACCTCCATGTTTCTCCCCAGTTGTTCTTTAAAAATTTTATCGACCAACCTTTGGTACGTGACGCCCGCATTTTTTAGGCCGAACGGCATCACCACATAACAATAGGTTCCCCGACTCGTCACAAAATTCACCCGCTTTCTATCTTCTTTTGCCAAGGGAATTTGGTGGTACCCCTGGGAGGCATCCATCAAGCTCAACAATTCACACCCAGCCGTCGAGTCGACCAACTGGTCGATTCTAGGTAATGGGTACAGATCCTTCAGGCATGCTTTGTTCAGATCCCGAAAGTCAATGCACATCCTCCATTTTCCCTCCGCTTTTGACACCATCACTGTATTTGATAACCATTCTGGGAACTGAATCTCCTTGACATGCCATGCTTTTAACAGCTTCTCGACCTCTTGCTCAATAATTTTATCCATCTCCGCTCGATGATGTCTCCTCTTTTGCTTTACCGGCCTCACGCTGAGGTCGATGTTCAGCCGGTGTTCGATCACCTCCGCACTTATTCCCGTTAACTCCTTCGTTGTATACGCGAAGATATCCGCGAACTCTCTGGCCAGGCCAATCAACCTCGACCTGATGGGCTCTTCCAGGTCCTTCCCAATTCTGAACTTCCTCTCCTCACATCCCTCAATAATTTGAACTTCTTCGACCTCCTCCCCTGACCGGATATCCACCTTCTCTTTTTCCCTCTCCAACCTCTGCTTATCTTCTTTCGACCTTGAACCACCTGGTCGATTGACCTCCTCCCCTTTTGGCCTAACTTGCTTCTTCGCTAGCTGTTTGTTGTTACTCACCGTAGTTTGGTAGCAGCTTCTCGAGGTAAGTTGGTCTCCAGCAATCTCTCCAACGTTTTCGCCCACAGGATATTTGATAGACATGTGGTACGTGGATACGACCGCCTGGAATGCATTCAAGCTTGTTCTCCCCATTATAATGTTGTAAGACGACTCAGCCCCGACGATCACAAACCTCACCATCCAAAATTTCCTCATTACCCCTGATCCCAGCGCCATGGGCAAGCTGATCTCTCCCATCGGCATAACCTCTCCCTCATTAAAGCCGTATAACGTCGTGGCCATTGGTTTCAACTCCATGTTTAGCTCCTTATTAATCTGAACAAAACAATCATAGAACATCACGTCCACTGAACTCCCGGTATCCATGAACACTCTCTTCACATCAAAGCCCGCCACTTCAACAGTAATCACCAAAGCGTCGTTGTGTGGCAATACCACTCCCTTTGCATCCTCCGCCTTAAAACTTATCACCGGCATTCGAGCCGTAATCCCCACCTCCTCTCTCTTTCTTTTCACAGCTCGAGCATGCTCCTTCCTGGCGTGATTCGAGTCGCCATCCGTCGGCCCTCCAGAAATCATATAAATTGTCCCTCTCTTCAATGGGGCTTCTCCTCCTTGACCTCCTTTATCTTCATCTCTCCTCGGCCTCTTTCCTCGACCATCTCGCCCATCTCTATCATCACCCTCCTCATCTCTATCACTTCTCTCTTCAGATTCCTCTCGACATCTCCTCCTTCCTTTTCCTTTCGCCGATCATGATACACAAACTCCTTCAGGTGCCCTGCCCGAATTAACCTTTCAATTTCATCCTTCAAATGCCTACAGTTCTCCGTGGTATGGTCGTAATCTCGGTGAAAACGACAGTAGACATCCGACCTGGGTCGAATCGGGCCTGTAAACCTTGTCTTCGGCCACGTCACATCCTCGCTCGACATCTTCTGCTCCATAGCCTCGAGTACCTCTGTCAAATATTTCCTCAAGGGTGTAAAATTATGATACCTCTATCTTTCAAACAACATCGGCCTTCTCTGCCATTCGTCCCTCTTCTCCTTTTTCGAATCTCGACTTTCTCTCCTGGGCGATGCTTTTATCGGCCCACTCCTCTTGGACGAACTCCTCCTTGGCGACCTTCCCCTTTGTGGGCTCTTCTCCTTCTTTGGCTCTGGTCGATCCGCCCCTTCCAGCTTTGCAAACTCCATCTCCATCTCCTCCAAATTAATATATTTCCTGCATCGCTTCAGAACGTCCTCATATGATCAAGCAGGGGTCTTTGCCAGGGAGGTTCGACAAAGCCCCGCTCGAAGACTCCGTATCAATCCTCCTGCTTTCACCTCATCCGATGCGGAGGGCACCTCCAAACATGTTCGATTATATCGAGCAACATACTTCCTCAACGACTCCTTCTCTTCCTGCCTCATCGCCATCAGCGTCAAGTATGTCTTCTCCTGTGCCACCGTGCTCGAATACTGGTTGGTAAGCTTGCTCGCAAAATCCTCAAAGTCTGCGATCGACCCCGGGGGTAATTGATGAAACCAGTCAAGTGCTCCCCCACGCAAGGTCGATAGAAATGCCCTGCAACATACAGAATCAGAATACCCATGCAATACAGCCATGTTCTCAAAGGTCCTCACATGCCTTGACGGGTCAGATGACCCACCATACATTAGTCTCCTGGAAATTATTTGGTAGGGGGTTGCGAGAATCTCCCTCGAGAACGGATGTCCTCGAGCCCTCCTTTCCGACCTTCTTTCCACCTTGTCCTGCAACTGGCGCAACTGCTCTGCCATCCTCTCCATCGCCCGATCTCTTCCACCTCCTCCATCTCCATAACTGGACACGTCCTCATCTTGGCCTCCTACTGTCGTGGTCGGCGCGGTGGTGGCATGAGATGTGTGGCTCGTGACTTGTTGCACCGCCTGCGTCGTCACGGCCGCCGTTATCCTCTGCATCTCCTCCCTGGTCATCGTCACCATCTGTTGACCAGGAGCTTGTACGACGGCTTTTTGTGGTGCTCTTCCTTGTGTCGCCACTCCTCCTAGCACCATCACTCCTCCTAGTTGTATCATCACCGAATTTTGTGGTGGCGGCGGTGGCATCGCTGCCGCAGCTACTGTGCGAGCTTCCTGGGCCCGCCTGGAGCCAGCATCTCCTCAGGGAATTGCTGTCGTCGTTCCCACACCTTGAAGGATAGGTGTAGCAGTGATCGGCGTTTGCGATGGGCCAGAAAAACCCAGAGGAGGGCCATGCCCCAACGGCATGGTCGTCGTCCAAGCTTCGTCGAATGTCGACTGCAAATTTTTGGGAATTCCGTCCGCCATAGCTGAGCTTCAAACACAACTTCTCAAACGAAAGTTCCCACAGACGGTGCCAATAATGCAAGTGTGCACGTCCTAGTCCGGTTTGGGGTAGATCGGTTCTTGTCCTCACCAGTAGAATGCCGGAAACCTGCAAATAACTCTCACAACGGGGGTTGTGTCCGGTGAAGAGCCTTTGATGCTTAAGTAAGTATCTATATGAGTATACTGAAGTGAATAATAGAAAAATCGTGTTCAGGGCGAAAGGCTCACCCCCCTCCCCTTTATATAGGGGTGAGATACCTGCCCTAATAGCTGCCTGGATAAGGATGAGTTGACTGCCCAAGCTGCCCGTCTGTACTCTAACACGCCGCGCACATGTCAGAGGTGGCGCGGGGCGTTGGGAGCTGTCAGAGGTGGTTATCGCTATCACCTAATACATTCTCGACACGTGTCCTCCTGCACATGGGGTAAATATTCTCCTGGAATTCGGTTGGAGGCTCTTACACGCGCCTGTGACTTAGGCCGATCTGTTGAGTGTTGAGTCCACGAGATGCTCGACCTGCTGAGGTCGATAAGGTTGATCCATCGTTTGTCTGGTCGAACGATGGATTGGTCGACTGTTTGACTAGTCGAACGATGGATTGGTCGACTGTTTGACTGGTCGACAAGTTATTTTGCTCGATCTTCTCATTGCCTGGCTCGATTTCTTTAAGGTATGACCCCCCAAACCGGTTCAGCAGACCGGTTTATCTTGGAGTATATAATATCCTATATCATATATTATATGTGTTGACATGGTTTTCGCTAAACTGAATAATTAATAATTATTGACACCAGGAGCCCAGTGATTAGAAGATTATGCTATCTTTGAGGTTGATATACTCACGAATTTCAAGTAACTACAAGTCGGATAAGAGTGAGCCAAATATCGACGTCGTCATCAAAACACTGACATCTCATATCGGTTATGACCTAGCAAACCGATATCTATGACGTGATAAACCGACATTACGTGGCGGTGCCAACTCAGCAAATCATCATTACGCTTAGCCAAGTGGCGCGTTACAAGAATAAGTGGCAATCGACCGCCATTGACTTTTCTTTTAGAATTAACATAGTTTCAATGACCTTGTACAGTACTATAAAAGACATAGAGAAACTTCCAAAGGAGGCAATACGAACTTTCACATTCGATAAGAACACGTTGTACTATCGTTGAATAATAATATTATCTCTTGATCATTAACAGAACTTGCTCTAAACACTCATTGATAATTCACATATAACAACAGTTTGGCGCTAGAAGGAGGGCCTCATAAGTTTTTGAGGTTAATCTCCGCTGTTATAGCCATCGCTTGCTCAAATCCCCATGTCACAATCTGATCGAGATCACACCTCCCATGCTGGGTAAAGCCATGCTACGAATCGTTCCGCGAGGCGTTCAACGCCACCACCTCCAGCAACCAATATCACGAATTTCCTTCAAGATCCAGAGTTCGTTCAAGGGTTAACATCTCTTATAGCTCGAGCTATGCCCAGAGCTTCGAGCACTGTACCATTACCCACACCTTTTCTTACAAACCCAATGGAACAACCAAATCCTGCTCACCGAAACCAAGAAACACATGTAGCAGTGTCACATGCCACATCACAACCACGTCATACTTCTCAGCGCCGAGATGAGCTGACTCGTGTAACTGTAAATCCAGTACCAGATAATCTGGCCACGCGTGGGCCTCCTGTTCAGGAAATGACTGCTGAAAGCCATTCTGCCCATCATCACAGAGCTTCTTCATGTCCTAGACCTCCCTTGTCGTTGCCTCGAGATCGTGAATATTTACGTCATCAGATTGAACGAAATCGTGTGTCAAGACATAGTTTGGAAGAATTAGAGGCTCTCCGTACAAGGCTGGCTGAAATAGAAACCCGACAAAGATCACAAGAAGAGTCCCCCCGACATGTCTCGACATCGGGTAATGTTATCGTTGAAGCTGATTCGCCCTTGGCTCCCGAACTTACTATAGAGGCACTCCCCACTAAGATAAAAATTCCACAAATTGGCATGTATGATGGAACTTCAGATCCTGATGCACATTTGGGTCATTATACGTCTTGGATGGATTTGCATGGCGCGTCTGACGCTTTGAGATGTCGGATGTTTTCACTCACACTGGGGCCGCGTGCGCAAAAATGGTACTATACTCTCCCACCTCATTCAATATGGAAGTGGCAACAGCTACGTGAAGCCTTCTGCCTTCCGATCACATTTTATCGGGGCCCAAGTTTGTCTCATCCCGAAAGAATCAATCATTAACATCATACAGGAAGACAATGAAACGGTCAAAGACTATATATCTCGGTTCAACGAGCGGATTCATAATATGGAACCTTGTCATCCCGAGACTTTGTTGGTAACTGCAATCGCTGGATTAAAGCCCAATTCTATGTTTCGCTGGACTCTTTGTCAAAACAAGCCGGCTACCTTTCAAGAATTTCTCGTGCGCGCTCAACAATTAATTATTGCCGAAGAGTCGATGTCGGTCCCCAGTTTCGATTTCTCGGTCAAGAAAGATAAGTCCGAACCGGAGACAAAGAAAAAGAATAAGAAGAACTTTGGAAGAACTCAATACCGAGGTTATTCGAAAGGTTATGAAGACACTCCAGAATCTAAAGCCGCCCGAGATTAGTATGCCGACAACGTAAGAACAGGTTATCAGACCGTTTATTTAGCCGGAGCAGCCACTATTTTTGAGGAACTAAAAGGAAAAGGAATCATTCCTGATTCGAAACCTGTGAGGACTCCTGAAGATAAGCTTGACAAAACTCGTTATTGAATTTTGATAACCGCCGCAAAGGAAGGCCCGCAGACGTCTCGGATGAAAAGGATGATGATGATCGAGGTGCCAATCCGAAAAGAATCTGCACAACCGACAAAGAGGTTTTTATGTTTTCTAATCTTGTTGGAACTTTGACCGATGAATGCAAGAAACCCAGAACGCATGATGCATCGAATCCTTCACATTACATACCTCGAATAAATTCTAACACTAAACAGCTGGATACATCTCGGTGAAAAGCCAAAGCCTACGCCCGAGAAGCACAAAACGCCGGGAAGCAAGTCATGAACGTTGATCTTCGAGATACCATTAATAAACGGAATTGTCCCATCACTTTCAACATCGAAGATGCCAATTTGTTCGCTCACCCACGTTCTGATGCTCTCATTATCACTGCTCCAATTAGAGGAATTCCTCTTCACCGAATTATGGTTGACACCGGAGCTTATTCAAGTATTTTGATGTTTCGTACTTTCAAGAAAATAGGCTTGGATCCCGCTGATATTAGGCCTTGCAATGATCAGATTCAGGGCTTCAATGGAAGCATTTCTTGTCCCCTCGGTGAAATCTTACTCCCTTTTCGATTTGGGGGCTTTGGACCAAAATCTAAGATCATTATGGAAACTTTCAAAGTTATGGATATTCAAAATGAATACAATGCTGTCGTAAGACGTACTGCTCTTTATAAACTTCGCGCTGCTGTGTCGATTTTTCATTATGCATTGAAATTTTCCACCCTCGAAGGAGAAGGTACTCACTACGGAGATCAACAAGAAGCGCGAAACTTGACATTGATTCTGACTTCACGCGATGTTCAAGCATATGAGGCACATGAAACTACTGACCCTGCTCAAAATGATCTGATAAACTCCGTTTTTTTCCGATGCCAATGCGACGGATCAATCCACTTCAGGTACCGACATCCCTTCTGTACTTGATACCGACGTCCCTATGACGTCGGAATTGTCTAACACGTCGGATGGAGTACACGACCAAGAACAACAGCTTCATAATAAAGATACTAAGTTACATGAAGATATAGACCTAAGGGTGCAATTCAAAGATAAGAGTCACCACGTTCGGGCAGAACCTGTTGAAGACGTTGATATTATTTACGTAGATGAGCTGGCTCAAGAAAAACCGCTGCGTATCGGAGCCAACCTTCAAGAACCAATACTCTCTCAACTGATTCAATTCCTTCGATCGAACCCCGACGTATTTGCGTGGAAACATGAAGAAATGAAGGGAATAGACCCTCAGAAAGCGTGCCATCGACTGAATCTGGATAAGACTGTTAAGCCCGTCATACAGAAACGCCGGAAGTTCGGGCCTAATCGTCAGAAAGCATTGAAGGAAGAGGTGAACAAACTCATTGATAATAAGTTCATCAAAGAAGTCAAGTATCTGATGTGGATATCAAACCCGGTTTTGGTCAAGAAAAGTAATGGCCTTTGGCGCCTATGCATTGACTTCTCGGATTTAAATCAAGCATGCCCAAAACACAGTTATCCAGTCCCAAATATCGATTATAAGGTAGATGCCACATCGGGACATCAGTTTATGAGTTTTTTGGACGCCTATTCCGGTTATAATCAGATTCTCATGCACCCCGATGACGCTGAACATACTTCGTTTTATTCAGCCCGAGGTCTTTATTGATATGTCATGATGACTTTTGGATTGAAGAATGCTGAAGCTACATATCAGAGGCTAGTCAACAAAATGTTTGCCCAACTGATCACGATGGAAGTATACATAGATGACATGTTGGTGAAGTCAGAACAAGCAAACGATCATATCACTCATCTCTCCGACGTCTTCAACATCCTCCGAGAATATTCAATGGTGCTTAATCCTAAAAAGTGCACCTTTGGGGTCGGCTCAGGAAAATTTTTAGGATACATTGTGAGTCAGAGAGGGATCGAAACCAACCCCGCAAAGATTCAAGCCATACTCGATTTGACTCCTCTGACGTCCATCAAAGGTGTCCAAGCATTGACTGGCCGGTTAGCCACTTTGAATCGATTCATCTCAAAGTCAACAGATCATTGTAAGCCCTTCTTTGATGCTATCAGAAAGAAAAAGCCATTTGAATGGACTGCTGAATGCCATAATGCCTTCGACAATATTAAAGAAGTCCTTTTACAGCTTCCGACGTTGCAGAAACCTCTTCCCGATGAACCCTTATATTTATATTTGGGAGTTAGTGGTGTTGCCGTCAGCGCTGCCCTCATACGACAAGACGGACTCCAGCAATTTCTGATATATTATGTTAGCAAGGCTCTACATGATGCTGAAGTGCGATATCCATATATGGAGAAATTAGCCTTTACTCTGATCATTGTTGCACGAAAGCTACGACCCTACTTTTTGGAACATTTCATCATTGTGTTCACTTCGCACCCTCTCCGACAAGTCCTTCACTGACCCGACACGTCGGGTAGAATGATCAAATGGGCTATAGAGCTCGGACAGTTTGACATTCAATATCGACCACGGACTGCCGTCAAAGCTCAGGTGTTATCGACTTCATAGCTGAATTCAACCCATCCATAAACGCATCAGTCGAAGACCCGACCTGGACTCTTTACGTCGACGGGTCCTCTACCGCTATGCGTGCCGGGGGAGGGATCGTTTTAGTTAGCCCTGATCAACAAGTCTTTTGTTATTCAATAGCATTCGCTTTTCCAGCCACAAACAATGAAGCTGAATATGAAGCTCCCTTATCAGGCTTACATTTTGTTGAATCCATGAGCGTCTTCTCACTCCGTATATTTTCTGATTCTCAATTACTTGTCAGCCACATCAATGGGGCTTATGAGGTCAAGGAACCTCGATTGCTCCCTTATTTTGATCTTGTCAAGAAAAAGTTGTCGAAATTCAAGATGACGTTAGAGCATATACCTCGAACATCCAATATTCAAGCGGATGCTCTATCACCTTTAGCCTCTTCCACCGACTTGAATAATGTCGAATTATTACAAATTACTCAACACACGACACCTTCAACAACTACTACCTACATCACTATGATTGATGCTGCTTCAATCACTGCAAATCCGACCTGGATGGATCCCATCATCAACTATCTTCACACCGGGGCCATACCTGAGGACCCAAAAGAAGCTCGTGCCCTCCGTGTTCACGCTGCTCATTTTACAATCGGCCATGGGACTCTATATAAGCGTGGGTATGCCACTCCTTTACTTAAATGCTTGTCGAAAACCGATGCCCGACATATCCTTGAAGAAGTCCATGAAGGTACCTGTGGCACCCATCAAGGAGCACAAACTTTATCTCATAAAATTCTCCGACAAGGCTACTACTGGCCGAACATCAAAAAAGATGTTGCCGACTGGGTACGAAAATGCCATAAATGTCAGATATTTGCTCCCAATGTTAATCAGCACCCTGAACTCCTCAAGTCAATTTATAGTTTGTGGCCGTTTGCGAAGTGGGGAATTGATCTCATCGACCCTCTTCCAACAACAAAAGGAGGTGTTAGTTTTGCGATATGGCTGCTGACTACTTCACCAAATGGGTAGAAGCTGAACCCCTTGCCGCCATTACTGAACAGAAGATGATCGATTTCCTTTGGAAGTCTATCGTTTGTCGGTTTGGAATACCGAATTCCATCATAACAGATAACGGCCAACAATTCGAGGGGAAAAGATTTGAAGGATTCTGTGAAAATTATGGTATCAAACATTTCTTCTCATCACCATACCATCCACAAGCTAATGGACAAATAGAAGCTGTAAACAAGATTATCAAGAATGGCTTGAAAACCCGACTTGAATCTGCAATAGGATCCTGGCCTGATGAGCTACCTCATGTCCTTTGGGCCTATCGAACAACATCACGGAACTCAACTGGAGAAACTCCATTCTCTTTAACTTACGGAATCGAAGCTGTAATACCCGTTGAACTCACTTCCCCGACATATCGGGTTACTCACTTCTCGAAAGAAGCAAACTCAGATAGCTTAAGAACCAATCTTGACTTGGTCGATGAGTTACGAACCAAAGCTGAAATCCAAAATGCTGCCTACAAACGACGTAGTGAAAAGTACATTAACTCGAAAATCAAGCCGCGCTCATTCGTCGTAGGGGACCTCGTTTTGAAAAGGATCACGGGGGCCAATGTCGGTCCGTTGCAACCAAAGTGGGAAGGACCCTTCAAAGTAAAACGTCTAGTCTCTAATGGCACTTACCGACTTGAAAATTTGGATGGTATTCCCCTTCAATATCCTTGGCATGCGACGTTTCTGAAGAAATATTTCCAGTAAAACAAGAGTTGATCCTATGCATCCGATTTACAAAGACTTTTGCTGACTCATGTACAAAATAATTTTTTGCTGTCAATAAAGATTGCGTGACGAACCTCTATAATTTGTTCGATCACCGGGACCTCAATAAATCGGTCCCCGTTGCTGAGGCTAAACGTGTCCATACCCTGAAGTTGGTATGGCCTGGCCTAACGCGACAAAGCCAGATACTTCTAAGCCCTGAAGATGGTTTGGGGAGGCTTATGCTCTAAGATTTCAAATCCCGACGTTGATTTGATGAGCTGACAATAAATGTTTCTGTGTCCCCTAATGACTCAGAAATTTCTACGATAAAATCAAGTCTATTATGGCTTGTTTAAGTTAAAAGTTCATAGATATCGGAAACACTATGAATTATACCGATATCAGAATATGAACACATTCACGAGAAAGTAAAATACAAATATCAAGTATCATGTTGGAATAATCAAATAAATAATTTTCTGAACACTCATTCATATTTACTCTGACATATCTTGACTTCGAGAATTCCCTTTATCTTATTATAACAATATACTCAAAGAAATAATAAGATGCTTCAAAGTAATCGAATTAGAATTGAACATTAAAATTTCATTCATAACTGCATAACGTCATTACATTCGAGAATAATTCATCAAAAAGTCAAAAAGAGAAAAACAACAACAGCGATAACGACATTTAGAGAGTTTGATCTTGACTTTCTTTGTTTGTCCCCGACGTCGACGCTTCCTCAGCCACTGAAGATGGAAGCTTTTCAGTATCGACCTTGTCTCTGCCCACCTCATCTAAGTGGTCTAACAACCTTTGGCCCAAGCCCTGAAACACTTCATCTTCCTTCTTTTCCATAGCTTGAAGGACGTCGCTTTCCTTTATAATGACCACCTCTCCATCCTCGTGAACGATCTTGTCTTCGTCGGAGGGAACCATCTCTATCAACCAACCCTTAGCCTTTGCATCATCTTCGGCTACTTTTCACATAGCGAAACTAGTGATAGCGCCGAGTAGATCTTCATCGGACAGGCCTTCAAGTGTTTCTACGACGAAAGCCTCCGCAATCGTCTCCACACATATGTTTGCCAATTCGGGTTTTTTAGTCTTTTCAACCTCAAGAACCATATCAATGAAGGCCCGACAAATTCTGGCTTTGCGCTCTTCAGATAAAGGAGCCATGTCCAATTCAAGAATGTGGCTTTCTTTTTGCTTAAGAAGCCTGTTAGTAAAATCTCGCTCATCTTGATCAGCCGGAATATGAGCATTTTTTATCTCATGATTAAGACAATATTTCTCTAATTTTTCCAAAGGAAAATCCGCAGCTCATCAACACTGTAAACTCTGCCTTCGACACGATCAATAACCCAGCGCAAAGTCAGAGCAGCATTCAACTCTAAATCCCCCTCGGTTACCGCATCGTCGTTCGACGCCCCGACAGATTCCATCACTGCTTTCTTGCCGACGTCTACACTGTAACACCCCGCCTAATTATTTCTAGAATTTATAAAATCAGAGTAAAATTTTTGCTTTTTATTTTCGAAAAAAAACTCTTAAACTTTATTTTCGAAAATA